TTATATTATATTATATTTACTCTGTATATGCATATTAATAAAATATTGTTTATGTTAATATATTAAGTGTGTGTGTGTGTGTATATATATAAAATGAATATATGTTTCTGTAAACATATACAAAAAAAAGTCAAATAAACAAAACTGACAGGTTATTTTAAATAAAATTAAAATATATTAAAATCTAAAATAATACAGAAATTTAATGAATTTGTGTTTCTATACATGTACAGGAAAAAAAATCTAATAAACAAACCATGACAGGTTATTTTAAATACAATTTAAATACATTAAAATGCAAAAAAATAAAAACTGAAATAATCCAGTCAAATGTGCAATATAAATGATGTCTGTATCTTGAGGGAAGCTACATTTTGCTTATTTTATGTGAGAAATAAAAAAAACACAAACAGCCACAGGTGAAATTTGATCAGGTAGCCGTTGAGTTTCAATCATTTTGAATGCGCTATAAATTATTGAAACATTTGTGATGTACAGCTTTAGAAAATCCATCGACATGATCTTCAGAAAAGCTTCATGAAATATGGAGGTGGCGATATTAAAAAAGCAAATTTTACAGTGCTTGAAGCCTCTGTTTCTGCCTCAGAGATGGAGGCGCAAACCGTCGAGGAGCTCAAACAGCAGAAGGGCTTCGTCCGAGAGCAGAGACGACACTATAAAGAGATGAAGGACCTGGTGAAGAAACACCACAAGAAGACCACCGAGATGATCAAGGAGCACACGGCCAAATACAACGAGTTCCAGCACGACTACCTGCGCAAACGGGCCGTCCTGCTGAAGTCTGCCAAACGAGACGGTAAGAAGAGGTAGGTAGACGTCCGCTGATCCAATCCCTGTTTGGACTGAGTGGAGAAACATCAGGAGAATGAACATCTCACGGACTGGTGTGTCTCGTCAGGTGTTTGTCGTCCAGTCCTGAACACGGAGCCTCGTTCTTCGAGCAGGAACTGGCCAATCTGGATCAGGACAGCGGACAGAAACTGTCTGAACTCAAAGAACAGCTAGTGTAATATATTTGAATTTAATTTTATAATCTAAAAATATTATAATATTTTTTTATGTGTTTGGAAACACACACACACGCACACACACACACACGCACGGACACACACACACACATATATATATATATTGCATTGTTTTATATTGTAATATATTATAATTTTATTTGAAATGACCTGTCATAGTTTTTTTATTCTACTATTTTCTGAATATGTGTACAGGTATATATATATATATATATATATGTGTGTATGTGTGTATGTGTGTGTGTTTGTATACATAATACAACAAATGATTAAAAATTATGTAATATATTTGAATTTAATTTTAAATAATAATCTAAGAATATTATCATATTTTCTGTATATGTGTATGGAAACATAAATTCATTAATATTATTGTTTTTTCTCTATACTATACAGTATGTGTAATACTACAAAAACATTAATACATTACACACAATTTATACTATATAATGTTAATATAACATAATCATCTTCAAACTAATTGCAGATCTCTTTAGAGAGAGAGAAAAAATATTATTTTCAGGTTATTTTTTATTAATGTTCTGGGAGGCAATTAAAGAAAGGGAATGGAAGGATTTTTGATGATTCTTTATAAAACGGTCCTCTAGATGGCAATAAAACACTGTTAAACGCCTCGCATGACACTGTACGAGTCTCTGTCTGGTTTCAGGGAGAAGCTGGAGATCAACAGGTCGTATGTGAACGAGGTGGTGCAGCACATCAAGAGGGTGAAAGACTTTCTCATTTCTCATCATCAAAAACCAGAGCCAATATGACTCTTCACACTTCACAGTGTTTGTCTTCTCTATCACTAGCTGGAAGACGCGCAGACTAAAAGACACGAGAAGCTGGTAGAAACCCACAAGAGCATCCTGCAGCAGATATTAGAGGAGAAACCCAAAGTAAGAGTTTACTGTGTTTTACTATGATAACAAATAAAAAGAGCCAAAACTATCAGCACAGCGCCGGATCTCTATCTGTCATCTCAGCTGGAGTCATGGCCGTTTCTAGCCAATTTGACGCCCTAGGCGAAATCCAAAAAAAATATTTATATATAATTCTTTTCAGACACCAGTTGCTTGTCACATTCAAATTGGTTGTCATAGTAACGACACTAATTTGTGGAGATTCAGTGCATTGAGTTCCACAAATCTGAATGCATTATTTGTAAATTGACTGTTAAGATAAACATTTTGCACAATTTAGTATCTGTAATATCAGAGTTTAATGTCACATAAATGAGCACAGCAGGTGATTATGATCACTGTTATTGTTATATGAGCAGAACTCGTCTCGTGAAAGCCAGTGTGGAGGCTTTCTAGGAAGTTTGACAGATGAGATTTGGAGTTTGTTGCATCATGACACTGTAGATCAATGCATTTTTTACAGCCATCATCATTGATTTTCTGCAGCTGTCATTCACCAGCATGCTTCGTAACTTTAACCCTGTAAAGCCTGACATAGGAACAGTGAAAGTAAAGGAAACAAACGCTCCTCAAACGATCCTGAGGATCAGATTTGAGACTAAAAAATGATTGATGGAGAATCGAGTAAAGCCCAGCTGCTTCAGTCCAGTAAGTGTTCATCTGGAAATATTACTGATTTTATTCTTACTTTTACTTGATAAAAATCAGATTTGACAGCAGAAAGACACGTGAAGCTCCAGCTGAAGCTGGATGTTTGTACAATTAGACTAAAAGAGCTTTATAAATAACTCTAAACTATCAATCAGACGACAGAAGATGTGCAGTAGAGCAAAGTTTTGATCATTTAGAGGCCTCAGAAATCTGCATATGAAATATGATACAGTAGGCTTTATAGGGTTAATGAAAATTCACTCATCATTGAAAGTCTTGTTAAGACCTTCTGCAGGTTTATAACAGCATGAGGGAATGACGACAGACTGTTCGTTCAGAGCTGACCCTTAAAATATGAAATACTTAACTCTTTAAATATTTCATAAGCTGTCAGGGGTATTTAAATATCTCAGATGCGAAGCTCCTGGAGAATTTCACTCTGATCATATGGCACATTTTTAGTGTCGATCTTAATACAGAAACAGAGGAAATGTGCTTTTCAGTGTTCAGCATGGCAGTACAGATCTGATTCCCAATCAAATCTGAAATCTCTCCCAATTGCCGCTTTCTTTTGATTGGCCTATGATCTGAATCATATTGCATGAAGTCAAGACTCCCTTCCTGCAAGCCCTGAGCTCTGTAAATTATGTGCCTTTGTGTTTTTTATTCAGATTCAGTGTTTTGTGTGAATAACAGGAATGATGTGGTGAAATCTCTACACTGATGTGTTGATTTGTCATTCCTGAGCACTGGCGCTCTGAACGGCCTGGATTTGCCGCAGCATTAGTGAATATTTATCCATATCTGTCAATACTGTCCCGTGTCACTTTAGCGTCCATGCCATCGACTCGGAGGGTCTCCTGCGGTCAGACAGACAGTTTATAATGCTGCATGACCATTAGTGCACTTTTACAATGATGATGTTTGCAGGAGTCTTTATTATTATTATTATTATTATTATTTTGTTCTTTCAATCTCAATTTTTTCTTGAAGTCCTCTAGTAATGTTAGTCTAGGATTTTTTTCAGGATGATTTTCCCCCTTTCGCTTTCTCTTCCAGTTAAGCAGGCTGTTATTTGCTTTTTTCATTGACATTTCCGACTTTTATTATATGTTTTTCTTTTTTTTCTTAAAGTCCTTTAATAATGTTAGTGACGGTTTTTCACCAAATTTATTTTAAAAAATTATGATACATTTATTTTAAATTTATGATAAATTTAAGTTTATTATTATATTACATTTAAATTGATCAAATGTATTAATAAATTATTTGCAGGACCATTTTCCACCCTCTCTCTGACTCTTACAATTATTAAACAGATTGTTATTTGCTTTTTACATAGAGTTTTACAGCTTTTATTTATTTATTTTTTTTGAAGTCTTCTAATAATGTTAGTCAAGTTTTTTTGTTTGTTTGTTTTTTTACATCAAATTTATTTTAAATGTATGATAAATTTATAATAAATTTAAATGGATTATTTAATTATTGGATAATAATAATTATGGATTATTTACCACCCTCTCTCTGTCTCTTACAATTAAACAGGCTGCTATTTGCCTAATAAATGTGACTTTTCCACATTTATTATTTATTTATGTTTAATTATTCTTTCCTTGAAGTCCTCTAATAATGTTAGTCAAGTTTATTTTTTTCACCAAAAACGGTCAAATTAATTTTTTCAGGATGTTTTTCCACCCTCTGTCAGACTCTATTTGCTTTTTTTCACAGACTTTTCTATATTTTATTATTTATATGTCTTATTGTTGGTTAACCTCCTTATTACCTCACTTTGACTTTGTTTCTGAATATATAATAGGTTTCACTGATGTGTAAATGTGGCTGTTAAAGTTTGAAATGAAACATTTTTGCAGTTGAGTTTCAATAAATGCTCATTTTGGACTTGGAAGAAGTTTCGATTTCCTAGTGCACAAAAACTATTGCTGTCAGTCAAAAAAGGAAGGATTTCGATTTTGAATGATGCACTAAAGGTCATTTTTGATTCCCTGTAGACTTGAACCTGTAATATTTTGGCCTGTGTTTGCAGCTCCAGAATGACCTGGATCAGGAATACCAGGACAAATTCCGGCGGCTTCCACTGGAGATCCAGGAGTTTGTGCAGGAAAGCACCAAGAGAAAGACTGAGAACGGAGAGCAGGAGGTTCTGCCCTCTTCTTCCTCCACGCTGGAGAAACTCATGCAGAAGGGAGCACAGTCTGAAGACGACACGGAGGAGGAGAAGAAAGACTGATGCCGGAAACCTTCAGGATCTCTTCCCACTTCACTTTTATGTTCCTTCATTAACATATTAGAGATTTGTAAGGCTTGCGTTTACTACTGAGTTTGTGGATCCGAGTCACGGAGCGTCGCATCAGAAACACGGCTTCATGTCGCGCTGGGAGTTATACATTTGTTTTACGTTTTTGTTTTTTACTTGACTGGATACACACTAAGATTCAAGTCTGAATTATTTCTAGTGTTTTGTTGTTTTGCTTCTCATAATAATGAGTAAAAGTAAAAGTGTTTTAATGGAAGAGAACGCAGGTCATGACACTGCATTGAGATACTGTAGCCGTCAATTATCTTTATCGGATGAATCTTACAAAAACGTCCTGGACAGTTCAACCCAAAACAACAATCTGGGTCATATTTAACCCCAAAAATATATTTTGCTTAGAGATAAATTAGTCTGTTGCATTTTTAAATTTAAATTGTACTTAAAGCTTATTTCACCCCTAAAATAGTTTTTTTTTTCGCCTAATTGGTCACATTATATTTATTATTTAATTAATTCATAAATGTTTTTATTTACTTTAAGTTCTCAAATTTTTTTTCCCCTGTCTGGGTCATATTTCACCCCAAAATATATTTTGCTTAAAGAAAAATAAATAAGATATGTGCATTTTTAAATTGTAATTAACCATATTTTACCCCTAAATTCTTTTTATTCAGCAAAATATATATTTTTTTGATTATTGGGAATTAAGTCCTATAATAATTTTTTTTTTGTGCACCAAAAACTGTCAAATTATATTTGAAAAAAAAATTATATATATATAAAAAAAAAAAAATTATACAAATTATAAAAAAAAAAAATCAGGACCATTTTTCACCCTCTCTCTGACTCTTACAGTTAACCGGTTTATAATGTTTCATTTTTATTTACATGAAGTCTTCTAATAATGTTAGCCACGTTTTTCTTTTCTTTTTCCAATCTTTGTCATTTCACCTAAACATTATATTTTAAAATGACATTTTAAGTGTAATTAACTATACCCTTAAAATAGTCATTTTTTAAGCATAAGTCAGAAAGCATGAAATGTTTCCTTTTTAAAACTTTATTTTGTTCAGTTTTTGAGGGATACCTTTAAGGATTTTTATGCCAAGTGGAATTTGATTGTTAATTATTTTCTACTTTATGCTATAATTAGTGATTTCATTCAGCACTTTGATTGGCTGTTATTTCTACTTGCTACTGCTAGATTTTAATTTAACAATTTTTACTTTTTTAATCTTTTTAATCTACTCCGGTTGGGTTAGTTATGTATTTAAAGTCACACCAAGAAATGAAATTAAATTTGACATTCATTTTCAGTATATTTGCAAGGTTTTGATATTTATGCTCAGTATCTGATCTATGTGAACTACTGAAAAGTGCCAAAATATGTTTCTTTTAACTTTCTTTTCAATGCATGTGACAGATCCTCATAAAACACAAATGTTCAAACCTTGCGTAATATCTGTTTAGTCTGTTTATTGACTAAACTATTCGCTTTATAATTTGCTTTAAAAAGAGTCTGGATCATTTCAGTGGCATCATTGGGAAGCAGCTGCAGAGAGTTGATCAATTACTCTTCATTTCCCCATAATTACTAGTTTACATGTAAAATGAATCCTGTATATTCACTTCTAGAAGTATTGTATTGAATTTTTACAACACGATTCGTTTTCTTTCGACTAAAATCTTTTTGCAATGTAAGATTACTTGAATTACTTTTCTGACTCGTTTTGAAGTGAAGTCCTGTGCCTTTGAATGTTGAATCTATGTTAGATGTGGAATGTAAAAAGTGTTGATGAATAGAGCTCATTTTTGTATAAACCATAACCGCACTTTTAAGATATTTATACTACTACAGAATTAGATAGATATCTTTGTCATTTCACCTAAACATTATATTTTAAAATGACATTTTAAGTGTAATTAACTATACCCTTAAAATAGTCATTTTTTAAGCAAAATTTAAATTCATGTTTTTCTTTTGATTTTTGGGTTGAATTCTCACCAGGCTTTGTGAGATTCACTCTTTCGGACATGAGAGTTTCTGAAAGGTTCCTGGTTTATTTGCACTGAAACGGATGATGATTCTTTGATTCGTCTTCTTGCTGCTGTTGGTTTGGTTTGATTGCGAGTGCTTGACTTGTGCTGTGTAAACGACAGGAGCCCTAGCGGGTGATTTTCCACCGGTCCTGATGTACATGAGAAACATTCTGGTCTGGAGGTGCTTGAAACTCTGTCCCACACTGACCTGGAGCAGTTTCAGGGATGCATGCTAACAGTCAGCCGGCCGTTTGTGCTTCTACACATTTGTAAATGTCAGCAATATAGCTTGTGTTGTACTGTGATGAACTACTATCAATTTGTGAAGGTGTGTTTCAACTTATAAGCTTTATTTATTTTCAAACCCATAACAGACACTTTTAGGTCGTTCTAAAAAAAAAAATATTTGCATATGTTTTATTTGCTTTGTGTTAAGGGACCATTTCAGTTCCTCCCGGTTTCTGTTTAGGAGGTTTTATGAAACTGTTTGAATACAGTCAGAATTGTCCAATTAGCATCAGTAGGTCACTTTAATGACTGAGTGAATCTCATGAAAACATGTCCAGCTCTCATTTCACCCCAAAATTGATGACAGTTTTCCCTCAAATTCCAGTTGTGGACAGGCATTGTACTTTACAGTAATACAGTGTTTTATCAGAATAAATTAAAAGGCAGAACAACATCATGATGCATACATTATTTATTATTATTTGTATTACAGTATTGGCAATTTGTCATAAAAATGTTACAAAAAAATCATGATGATCTTAAAATAGGCTTTATTTTCTTTATGCAAAATGTAATTTCTTATTTATTTCTGGTTTTGGGGGAAATATGACCTGAACATGTCCTTGTTAGATTTTGTGTGTGGAGTTTTGTTTTCCGTCGCGGAATAAAAAAGGTCCTTGCTATTTTTTTTTTCACAATTCTGAAAACGTGTGTGTAATTCTGAAAACGTCTGCAAGAATTGCAAGATATAAACTCAAAATTGCGATATATAAACATAATTGTGAAAAAGTCATAATTGTGAGTTATAAAATTAAAATCTGACTTTTTTCTTGCAAATTCCAAGTTTACGTAATTCTGAGTTTATCTCACAATTCTGACTTTTTTCACAATTCTGAGTTTGCATCTTGCAATTCTGTTTTTTTTTCCCACCACTGAATAACATATGTTTTAATTGCGACTTTTTATTTTGCAATTGTCTTTTTTTTTCCTCAGAATTGCGAGTTTTTACAGTATCTCGGAATTCTGAATTTTTAATCTCAGAATTGTAATAAAAAAGTATGAATTTTGGGATGAAAAGTCGCAATTATTTTTTTAATTTATTTTTTTTAATCCCATGGCAGAACCGGCCTTCCATATAAATGAGATTCACCTCAGTCATAAATAAAATTAGTAATGCAGATGAAGGCAAGAAATAAATAAATAAAAAACAGAAAGAAAAAAAAAAGGATATGCACTTTGGATGTCCCGAGGTATTATCATCATTATGCAATCTTTCTACATAAGTCAGAAAGCATGAAATGTTTCCTTTTTAAAACTTTATTTTGTTCAGTTTTTGAGGGATACCTTTAAGGATTTTTATGCCAAGTGGAATTTGATTGTTAATTATTTTCTACTTTATGCTATAATTAGTGATTTCATTCAGCACTTTGATTGGCTGTTATTTCTACTTGCTACTGCTAGATTTTAATTTAACAATTTTTACTTTTTTAATCTTTTTAATCTACTCCGGTTGGGTTAGTTATGTATTTAAAGTCACACCAAGAAATGAAATTAAATTTGACATTCATTTTCAGTATATTTGCAAGGTTTTGATATTTATGCTCAGTATCTGATCTATGTGAACTACTGAAAAGTGCCAAAATATGTTTCTTTTAACTTTCTTTTCAATGCATGTGACAGATCCTCATAAAACACAAATGTTCAAACCTTGCGTAATATCTGTTTAGTCTGTTTATTGACTAAACTATTCGCTTTATAATTTGCTTTAAAAAGAGTCTGGATCATTTCAGTGGCATCATTGGGAAGCAGCTGCAGAGAGTTGATCAATTACTCTTCATTTCCCCATAATTACTAGTTTACATGTAAAATGAATCCTGTATATTCACTTCTAGAAGTATTGTATTGAATTTTTACAACACGATTCGTTTTCTTTCGACTAAAATCTTTTTGCAATGTAAGATTACTTGAATTACTTTTCTGACTCGTTTTGAAGTGAAGTCCTGTGCCTTTGAATGTTGAATCTATGTTAGATGTGGAATGTAAAAAGTGTTGATGAATAGAGCTCATTTTTGTATAAACCATAACCGCACTTTTAAGATATTTATACTACTACAGAATTAGATAGATATGACAGAATCTGTATGCTACTGAATGCCACTTTATTATTTTCGACTTTTGTTTCTGTTGACAGAAAAGATCCCGATTTGACATTTAAAGACATTTGATTTGGTCCACTTCTGTTATTAGTATCACAAATATCAAGATCTGTGGAAGACAAATATTGTTGAATGTAAGTTGTGCTCGTGTTGTGCATTGGTTTTAATAAAATTGTTCTTGTGAAATGTGGGCTTTGAACAATATTAATAATTTGCTCTTTTTTCTGAACTTTAACAGTGTGAAATAAAAAGCATGTGAGCTTTTAGAAGTATTTTACAGTAGACTGTCACGCATTGATTATATATAACCCTTGACAGATTAATACTTCATAAATCAAGCATATTACACCTTTATGACATTTCTAACTTCTAATTCAATTATTTAAATGTTCTATTGAGGTTGACTTCATAAGGTTTCTATTATTTTCCCTTTGAAGTATTTTAATATATTCTTCAAACCTATCAAAACACATCAGACAGATACGTATTAATAATGTAACTCTGTTTTATGACACTGAAGAGAGTTGCTGTTTTTAATCTCTTCTGAGGAAGATTCATTCACTTGTTTGACAATGTCAGATTTTTTAAAGCTGCAGTCTGTAAGTTTTGCCTCTTTGTCGCCATCTCTGTTTGAAAACCTGGAATTGCAGCTGTGTGTGGAATTATCTTCCTTGTGTGGGTTGTGAGTCGGCACAGCTCCAGCATGGATAAATCTAATGTTCTGAAGAGTATGTGTGGCAGTCAGTCGCCGCACCGGTGTGGATATTTACTGTACTTCACAATCACAGATCTAAGAAATTATTTTAACCCAAAAAGCAAATTATACTCCCTTCGAACTGGTTTTCTTTAAAATACAAATCTTTGTAATCCCAGGCTATCTGTAATCAGAAGCACATTTATAACTGGAATATCATTTAATTTCATTCACATGTGTTTCATAAACACATAATCCTTTTTGGAT